AAACGTCATCCAGCATATAAACAGAACCAAAGACAAAAACCACATGATTATCTCAATAGATGCAGAAAAGACCTTTGACAAAATTCAACAGCCCTTCATGCTAAAAACTCTCAATAAATTCGGTATTGATGGAACGTATCTCAAAATAGTAAGAGCTATTTATGACAAACCCACAGCCAACATCATACTGAATAGGCAAAAACTGGAAGCATTCCCTTTGAAAACTGGCACAAGACAGGGATGCCCTCTCTCACCACTCCTATTCAACATAGTGTTGGAAGTTCTGGCCAGGGCAATCAGGCAAGAGAAGAAATAAGGGGTATTCAGTTAGGAAAAGAAGTCAAATTGCCCCTGTTTGCAGATGGCATGATTGTATATTTAGAAAACCCTATCGTCTCAGCCGAAGATCTCCCTAAGCCGATAAGCAACTTCAACAAAGTCTCAGGATACAAAATCAATGTGCAAAAATCACAAGCATTCTTATACACCAGTAACAGACAAACAGCCAAATCATGAATGAACTCCCATTCACAATAGCTTCAAAGAGAATAAAATACCTAGGAATGCAACTTACAAGGGATGTGAAGGACCTCTTCAAGGAAAACTACAAACCACTGCTCAGTGAAATAAAAGAGGATACAAACAAATGGAAGAACATACCATGCTCATGGATAGGAAGAATCAATATTGTGAAAATGGCCATACTGCACAAGGTAATTTATAGATTCAGTGCCATCCCCATTAAGCTACCAATGACTTTCTTCACAGAATTGGAAAAAAACTAAAGTTCATATGGAACCAAAAAGACCCCGCATTGCCAAGACAATCCTAAGCCAAAAGAACAAAGCTGGAAGCATCACGCTATCTCACTTCAAACTGTACTACAAGGCTATAGCAACCAAAACAGCATGGTACTGGTACCAAAACAGAGATATAGACCAATGGAACAGAACAGAGCCCTCAGAAATAATACCACACATCTACAGCCATTTGATCTTTGACAAGCCTGAGAAAAACAAGAAATGGGGAAAGGATTCCCTATTTAATAAATGGTGCTGGGAAAATTGGCTAGCCATCAGTAGAAAGCTGAAACTGGATCCTTTCCTTACTCCTTATAAGAAAATTAATTCAAGATGGATTAGAGACTTAAATGTTAGACCTAAAACCATGAAAACCCTAGAAGAAAACCTAGGTAATAGCATTCAGGACATAGGCATGGGCAAGGACTTCATGTCTAAAACACCAAAAGCAATGGCAACAAAAGCTAAAATTGACAAATGGGATCTAATTAAAGAGCTTTTGCACAGCAAAAGAAACTACCATCAGAGTGAACAGGCAACCTACAGAATGGGAGAAAATTTTTGCAATCGACTCAACTGACAAAGGGCTAATATCTGGAACCTACAAAGAACTCAAACAAATTTACAAGAAAAAAAATCCCATCAAAAAGTGGGCAAAGGATATGAACAGACACTTCTCAAAAGAAGACATTCATACAGCCAACAGGCACATGAAAAAATGCTCATCATCACTCGCCATCAGAGAAATGCAAATCAAAACCACAATGAGATACCATCTCACACCAGTTAGAATGGCAATCATTAAAAAATCAGGAAACAACAGGTGCTGGAGAGGATGTGGAGAAATAGGAACACTTTTACATTGTTGGTGGGACTGTAAACTAGTTCAACCATTGTGGAAAACAGTGTGGCGATTCCTCAAGGATCTAGAACTGGAAATACCATTTGACCCAGCCATCCATTACTGGGTATATACCCAAAGGATTATAAATCATGCTGCTATAAAGACACATGCACATGTATGTTTATTGCAGCACTATTCACAATAGCAAAGACTTGGAATCAACCCAAATATCCATCAATGACAGACTGGATTAAGAAAATACGGCACATATACACCATGGAATGCTATGCAGCCATAAAAAAGGATGAGTTCATGTCCTTTGTAGGGATGTGGATGCAGCTGGAAACCATCATTCTCAGCAAACTGTCGCAAGAACAGAAAACCAAACACCACATGTTCTCACTCATAGGTGGGAATTGAACAATGAGATCACTTAGACACAGGAAGGGGAACATCACACACCGGGGCCTATTGTGGGGAGGGGATAGGGAGGAGGGATAGCATTAGGAGATATACCTAATGTAAATGACGAGTTAATGGGTGCAGCAAACCAACATGGCACATGTATACATATGTAACAAACCTGCACCTTGTGCACATGTACCCTAGAACTTAAAAGTATAATAAAAAAATTCAATCCATTTTTTACTTCAATAAATTATTTCTTTAAAAGAAATTTCTATTCTCTACTTATAGTAAACTTTTTTTTCTTATAGTAATTTTTTTTTTCTAGTTTGTATTCTAAATTAAGGTGGTAGCTGCACAGGTTCTTCCAAAGGTATATTGAGGGATGCTGAGGTTTGGAGTACGATTGAACCCATCACACAGGTAGTGAGCACAGCACCCAATAAGTAGTTTTTCAACCCTGGCCCACTCTGTCCCTCCCTGTTCTTATTTCCCAGTGTCTATTGTTCCCATGTTTATGACAGTGTGCACCCAATGTGTAGCTCCCACATATGAGTGAAAACATGAGATATTTGGTTTCTGTTTCCACGTTAGTTTGCTTATGATAGTGTATTCCAGCTGTATCCATGTTGCTGTAAGGGACATGATTTTGTTCTTTTTATTGCTGCATAGTATTCCATGGTATATGTAAAATTTTCCAGTCTACCTTGGGTTTTCAATCTACCTTGGATGCACCTAGATTGACTCCATGTCTTTACTATTTTGAATAGTGCTGCAATGAACATACATGTGCATGTGTCTTTTTGTTACAATGACTTATTTTCCTTTAGGTATACCCCTACTATAGTAATGGGGTTGCTGCATCCAATTCTTAGTACTTAATTTCCAAACTGCTCTCCATAGTAGCTGAACTAATTTACATTGTCACCAATGGTGTATGTTTCCATTTCTCCACAGCCTCTCCAACATTTTTTTTTTTTTTGACTTTTTAACAAAAGTCGTTCTGACTGGTGTGAGATGGTATCTCATTGATGTTTTGTTTGGTATTTCTCTGATGATTAGCAATAGTGAGCATTTGTTAATGCTCTTATATGTGTTCTTTTGAGAAGTGTTTGTTCATGTCCTTTGCCCATTTTTAATGGTGTTATTTATTTTTTGCTTGTTGATTTATTTAGGTCCCTTATGGATTTTGGATAATAGGACTTTGCTGTATGCATAGTTTGTGAATATTTTCTTCCATTCTTTAGGCTGTCTGTTTAATCCCTTGATAGTTTCTCATGCTGTGCAGAAGCTCTTTAGCTTATTTAGATCATACTTGTCAATTTTTGTTATTCTTGCAATGGCTTTTGAGGACTTAGCCATAAGTTAATTGACAAGTGTGATGTCCAGAAGAGTATTTCCTAGGTTTTCTTCCAGAATTTTTATAGTCAGAGGATGCACTCTTATGTAAGAAAAGCAAAACACTTTTTTCTTTTTCTGAGATGGAGTCTCCCTCTGTCACGCAGGCTATAGTGCAGTGGTATGATCTTGGCTCACTGCAACCTCTGCCTCCTGGGTTCTAGTGATTCTCCTGCCTCAGCCTCCCCAGTAGCTGGAATTACACATGCCTGCCACCAAGCCTTGCTAATTTTTGTATTTTTAATAGAGACAGGTTTTCATCATGTTGCCCAGGCTGGTCTCAAGCTCCTGACCTCAAATGATCCGCCCACCCCGGCCTCCCAAAATGCTGAGATTACAGGCGTGAGCCACTGCATCTGGCCAAGTACAAAGTTTTTAACATATAAATGGAAATGAATATTTTAGTGTTTTGTTTAATTCATAAAGTGCACTTATTTTGGATTCTATTAAATAATAAACATTCATATACGGTTAAGTGTTTGGATGCCAGTCATTCACTTGTGATTATAGGTAGGAAGAGTTGAGATGGTGCAAAGAAACTTTTTTATTTTTGAGACAGAGTCTCACCCTGTCACCCAGGCTGGAGTGCAGTGGCACAATCTCGGCCCACTGCAGCCTCCACCTCCTGGGTTCAAGCAGTTCTCTGCCTCAGCCTCCCTAGTAACAGGCATTACAGGCTCTTGCCACCATACCAGGCCAATTTTATTATTTTGTGTGTGTGTGTGTGTTTTTAGTAGAGGCAAGGTTTCACCATCTTGGCCAGGCTGGTCTTAAACTCCTGACCTCGTGATCCACCTGCCTTGGCCTCCCAAAGAGCTGGGATTACAGGTGTGAGCCACTGTGCCCGGCTAGTGCAAAGAAACTTTAAAAGTGGTATGGACCAGGAGCAGTGGCTCATGCCTGTAATGTCAGCACTTTGGGAGGCTGAGGTCGGAGGATCACAAGGTCAGGAGTTTGAGACCAGCCTGGCCAGTATGGTGAAACCCCATCTCTAGTAAAAATACAAAAATTAGCTGGGCATGGTGATGGGTGCCTCTAGCCCCAGCTACTTTGGAGGCTGAGTCAGAGGAATCGCTTGAACCCGGGAGGCAGAGGTTGCAGTGAGCCAAGATCACACCACTGCACTCCAGGCTGGGCAACAGAGTGAGACTCTGTCTCAAAAACAAAAACAAAACAGAACAAAAGAAGTGGTATGAACCAAAGCCAAATTACAATGAATTAGAGAGTAGACCAAAGCATCTCAAAGCATACCTTCAGTTATTAGGCGATAACATGCAATTTCTAAAACTTAAATGCAGCTTTTAAAGAAATTTTAATGTGTTAGTTTAGTCACATTTATTGAACAAAGTTAGCAAATGGGTATCTGTTGAAAATGGGAGCTCCAGGGAATTAAAAAATGTGAAGTTCCCATTTCCTTTCTGTGTTAACACAGCTAATTATGATCTTTACTTAACATGCATAAGTCAACAGAAGAACTCAGTATTTCACCAAATTAAAAACAAGAATTTTATTAGAGAAATGAAACGCAAAAGAGAAACAGTAATATGACTAACCTCAGTTAAATAGTTCTTGCAGGTATTTGAAGTCTGTGGGTTTGAAGTAGGAATTCTTATGGGTGTTTCAGGAATGTATTTTCTGTTGAGTCCTGGCCTCATAGAAAGAGTGCTAAGAAGATTTCACATGCTCTTTCTCCATAAGGAGCTTGGTGCTGATCACTGCTATTTTCATATTTGATCTGTAAAGATAGCAAAGACAAATGCTTAGTATTTCACTTTTCCTTAAATAACTCTTAATGACTTGTATTTTTTAAAAAGTTGTCCTGAGAGTAGACCAAATTACCCACTAAACAGTGTGTTAACACTGAAGATGTGTGAGAGCATGCCTGTTGTAAGCAATTATAATTGTAATAACCTACAATGTGATATAATCTTGCTCCAGTTTGAATAAATGGCTATCATTGGAAAGACAAAAAATAACAAATGCTGGGAAGTTTCAGAGAACACTAAACTCATATGCTGTTGGTAGGAAGGTAAATTAGTGCAGCCACTATAGAAAACAACATGAGGTTTTCTCAAAAAACTAATAATGGAACTGCCGAGGATCCAGCACCTGAGTATTCAGGCAACAGAAAAGAAAATAATGAAGTCAAAACAATAAGCACTTTCGTATGTTTATTGTAGCACTATTCACAACAGCTAATGTATGGAATCAACCTACATATCCATCAACAAATTAATGAACAAAAAATTGTAGTACACATACACAATGGAATAATACTATTCACCATATAAAGGAATGAAATCTTGTTATCCGTGGCCATGTGGATCAGTCTGGAGGATGTTATGTTAAGTGCAGACACAGAAAGATAAATACTGCATATTCTCATGTGTGGGAGCTAAAGAAAAATTGAGGTCTGGGCAACATGGCTGATGCTGCAATTTTCTAGCACTTTGAAAGACCAAGGCAGGAGAATCACTTGAGGCCAAAAGTTCTAGAGCAGCCTGAGCAACATAGGCAGACATCTCTACAAAGTAAAATCAGACAGTTGCAATGGCGCATGCCATAATAATCCTAGCTGCTGAGGTGGAGGTGGGAGGCTGAGGTGGGAGGATCACATAAGCTCAAGAGTTTGAGGCTGCAGTGAGCTGTAGTCAAGCCCACTGTCTCTGAGTCTGGGTATTTACAGTTCCTTAGAGCCCAGACTACATATAAAGACCTTGTCTCTTAACAAGAAGAAAAAAGCTCATAGAAGTAGGAAAGGGGAGGCTGGTTAATGGTTACAGAATTACAGTTAGATGAGAGGAATAAGTTTGTGGTGTTCTGTGGCATTGTAGTATGAATATAGTTAACTATGATTTATTGTATATTTTTAACTTAAGCTAGAAGATTTTGAATGTTCACAATGCAAAGAAATGAAAAATGGTTAAAGTAGTAAATATGCTAATTAGCTTGATCATTACACACTATATACATGAAACAAAATATCACTCTATAGCCCATAATTATGTATATACATGTTAATTAAAACAAAAGAGAAGCTATATTCATCCCATTAAAAAAAAAGATAGCAGGTCAACACTTTTGGCTTCCTTCTAATGAACAGAATTCAGTAAAAGGGATACCATGTAGCTTCTTCTATCTCAGGTTACTTTCCCTTTGAACCCAGCCCCCAGATTGTGAGAGAGCTCAGGCCTCAAAGAGAGCCGAGTGCCATTGTCAGTGTTCACTTCTGCCTGCCCCAGCAAGGTTCCAGCCAATGGCAACATCAACATCAAACAAGTAGGTGATTTTCTTGGAATGCACTAAACTGTTTATTCCAAGAATCTTCTGCCAGGCTAGAGGCAGGCTGTGCATCTCTGTTTCAGTGACAAAGGTCAACACAGGGAACTGTGGTTTCTGAGAATGCAAGATCTGCCAATAATATAATTATACAGTGCTACACAAGAAAACCAGCTACCAGGTGGAAAGAGGATCTGCGAGCTGAAAGATGATGACTTCACTTGGTTTCCACTGAGGAAAGCTGGGAGCTCAGACTTCCTGGATGGTAAACATCTATGAAAGATTCCATGAATTATAATGAGTTAGTAAAACATAATGCACTATATAGTAGACTATGTCAGCACATTCTGGGACCAAAATTTACTGAAAATAAAACTATAGAGGGAGGCACTGGATAAGAGATTAAAGGTTTGAATGGAGAAAAAAAAGATATAAACTGTCTTATAAGCCAGACTTCCCATCATGTCTTAGAATAAGTAAGGTATAAGCTGGCCACAGACGCTTTGAGACACAAAGAGGTGACATTAAAAGATACTCCACTACATTTAATTTTTATTATGACATTAAACAACTGGTAATGTACAACATGATTGGAAAAAACCTCTCATTAAATTTGATTTGGCCTGGTATAAGAATAGACATAAACTAAGAATTGATAATCTAAAAATAAACCTGCACATTTACAGTCAATTGATTTTATACAGGCTAACAAAAAGAACAAAATGGGAAAAGAATAGTCCTTTCAACAAAGCGGTGCTGAGACAACTGGGTATCCATATGCAAAAATAAAGTTGGACTCTTGCAAATATCATATTTAAAAATAAACTCAAAACAATTAACTGTAACAGCTAAAACTATAAAACTCTGAGAAGAAAACATTGGCATAAATCTTTGTGACTGCATATGACTCCAAAAAAAAAAAATGGATTCAATGGACTTCAAAATTGAAAACTCCTGTGCCTGAGAAAACAGTATCAAGAAGTGAAAAGGCAAGCCACCGAACAGAAAAAATATTTGAAAAGTATATATCTGATAAGGGACTTACATATATAGGATATATGAAGAACCCTTGCAATTCATAAATAAGATAAAATTTTTAAAATGGGCAAAGATTTTGAATACATATTTCTGCAAAGAAGATATAAAGATGAATAATAAGCACATTAATAGATGCTTAATATAATCAGTCATTAGGAAAATGTAAATCAAAACCACCTTGCGGAGTATCACTTCTGACACAGGATGAAATATTTGTTCAATAAAGAAAGTAAGTGTTAGGAAAAATGTAAAGACATTAAACTCTTATCCAGTGCTGCTGGGGATGTAAAGTCTGGTCAAGTGCTTTGGAAAACAAACTGGCAACTCCTCCAAGGTTAACATGAAGTTACCATATGACCCAGAAATTCCAGTCAGAAAAATAAAAACAAATGCAAACACAGAAATTCATACATAAACATTTACAGTGGCATTATTAAGAAGAGTCAAAGAGTGGAAAGGGCAAGGTCACCAGCAGCACAGGTGAAGAAACCCAAAAGTCCATTCATCCTGATGAATGGATAAATAAAATATTTGATGTATCATACAATGGAGTATTACTCAGCAATAAGAAGAAATTAAGTACTGATACTGATAGAGATCAAGGAGACAGCAAAATGCCTAGGGCGAATTTGGAAGGGTCCTGGAGAATCCAACCAGCCCCTGAGTGTCTACACCAGATGTTTTGTGCAGTTAAGGGAACCTGCACAGGGTCTTCACCTGGACATGCCAGCAGTGGAACAGGCCCACAGGCACTGGGGAGTAGAGGTGGAGCCACCAGGAATTCACACCTTATGCAGAAGAGGAACCTGGCCTCTTTAGCTCATGTGTGGTGGGTGGTCCTGGTATTCAGTTGTGAGGTGGAAACCTGTTTGCAGGACCTCTCTTTTTGCTGAGAGCTTTCCTTTCACTTAATAAATTTTGTCCTCCTCATCCTTCAATGTGTTCATGTGCCTAATTTTTTTCTGATCGTGAGACAAGAACTCGGACTTAGCTGAACTAAGGAGCAAAAACCCTGCTTTAATACCTGCTGCTTACAGATACAGTATGAAAGATTATGCTAAGTAAAATAAACCCGGTCACAGTAGACACTTGCTTTTTTATTTAAGGCTCATAGGAAAATCTGTACGAAGGTGGTGGTTCCTAGGAGCTGAGGGAGGAAGGGGAAACCAGCAAAGATGGCTAAATGATGTGAGGTTTCTTTTTAGGGTGATGAAAATGTTCTAAACTTGATTGTAATGATGATTGTGTAACTCTGAAAATAATAAAAGTCAATGAATTGTATATTTTTAAATGAATAAGATTTCATGGTGTGTTAATTATTTCTCAATAAACCTATTATGCCCCCAAATTTATTTGGTATAGTGATCTGGAGACGTGTACTGTGGTTTCAGATCACTGGCCAGGGATTCAAGACATAAGAGAATAAAAAACCTGTCGCTTTTATAGAAAAATATATTTGAAAAACTATCCTTTTCATTAGTATCAAATCTGTAAAATTAAATGAAAAATCTTTCTTTCACTGCTTAAAGCACTGAGAGATTTATGTTGAGGAATAAGACCTTGTTTTCTTTTGCCCCAATTTCTATCTAAAGAGGGTCTGAAATCCACCCTTCCAAACTATAAAATCTCATCAGATGGGTTTTATTAACTCTTATAATGTGGCTTACTTTCTAACCTGATTCTGGTACAACATCACAGATAGCAGAAGCTGGAAGTAATCAAAATATTTACCCCCAAATATATTTTTGACATGTTTTGAAATGGCTGCTGCAGAGATAAGAGGTGAAATGGCCATACAAAGCTGTCTTCTGTAAATTGCATCTGTAAGAAGTCTTCACATTAATGTAGCCCAATCTCTCCCCTTGTAGATCTTTTTCCAGATTTAGGAAGACTATGAGCCTGATGCATTCATCTGACTCTCTGAAAAGATACATTTGCCCTCTGTTTTCTCTGAGGGTTGCCAGCTATGAGGCTTCATCTACATAAGAACCTTGGCCTCCATAACCACCTTATCTTAATTAAAGGCCTCCTTTCTACTATTTCAGTTTTTGAACAGATTTTCTTTACCAATTGTCACCTAAAGAATCCCCAAAACCCACCTATGACTTGTTAGCCCCTCCTTTTTGATGTCCCACTTTCAGGCTGAACCAATATCTGCCTTCCTCCTTATTGATTCGATTTTCCCTACAACTTCTGTCCACCAAATGCTGCAAAACCAAACTATAATGTGATTGTCTCATGAAACATTCTCAGGATCTCTTGGAACTGTAACCCAGAGCCACAGTCACCATATTGGCTCAGAATAAACCTCCTTAAACATATTTTGGCAGAATTTGGGTTTTTCCATCATGAATATTTCCCAAAATTACATAATTTTAATTCAAAACTGATTTAAAATTACCTTATATTTGGAATATAAGTTATTCTATTATAAAGATACATGCATTTGTATGTTCTTTGCAGCACTATTCACAACAGCAAAGACATGGAATCAACCCAGATGTCCATCAATGACAGACAGGATAAAGAAAATGTGGCATATATACATCTTGGAATACCATGGAGCCATAAAAATGAATGAGATCTTGCTCTTTGCAGGGACATGAATGAACTTGGAAGTTGCTATCCTCAGCAAGCTAGCAGAACAAAAACCAAACACTGCATCTTCTCACTTACAAGTGGAAGCTGAATGATGAGAACACATGGACTTGGGGAGGGAAACAACAAACACTGGGGCCTGTTGGGGTTGGAAGGGAAAGCATCAAGATTAATAGCAAAAGCATGCAGGGCTTAATATCTAGGTACCTTTACCTTAAGATAAAAAAATTTTTAAAAGAAAATTACCTGATGTTTTACCTGTACTTAACCAGAATATCCATTTTCAGTTGAGCTATTTTTAAGTCTTCATGGAAACTGGAGTCTTCATTTACAAATGGTAAACATATTTATTGTCATTTCTAGGCATTTCTTACATCTGCAGAAATGTACAGAATTAGTAAGTCAAGTATTTTTAAGAGTATTTAATGTTTAAACAGATATTATGTTATGGCATATCAATAAACAAATCTATAAACTACTGATCCTCTCAGTTTTCAGCTGAACACAGTTTGAAAGCATTCTATGTAGAGTATAATCTTAGATAAATAATATGAAGAACAATTTTATGGCATATATGGCAGGTAAAGTGACATTATAACCATACTTTTTTTTTTTTTTTTTTTTTGAGATTGAATTTCACTCTTAATGCCAGGCCAAAGTGCAGTGGTGTGATCTCGGCTCACTGCAACCTCTGTCTCCTGGGTTCAAATGATTATCCTGCCTCAGCCTCCCAAGTAGCTGGGATTACAGGCATGCACCAGCACACCTGGCTAATTTTGTATTTTTAGTAGAGATGGATTTTCACCATGTTATTCAGGCTGGTCTCAAACTCCTGATCTCAAATGATCTGCCCATCTTGGCCTCCCAAAGTTCAGGGATTACTGGCAGGAGCCACCACGCCTGGCCTGACCATACAGTTTTTTATAAATAAACTATTCATATCCATTTTGGTATGCTAAGATAAAATAATCTATTACTAAATATAAGCCATAACTCAGAGATTAAATAACCAAGATAAAAAAGTAAAACACATATATGTTTGAAAAAGACACAGAAATACATTCTGATACCCATTGACACAGTCTATAAGAAGAAAAAAAAAAGTACACCCAAAAAGCATCAAGGAGATCATTCAATGCAGAAAAAGAGAAGAAAAACATCTTTAATATCTGATTTGAGGAGAAAAAGGAAACAGGTAGTTTTAGAAAAAAGGAATGGGGCGGGGTTAAAGACTTTGTGAAGAGATCTGAGAGATCTTTCCTGACAAAATGTCAACAAAATGAAAGATAGGCAGAACCATATAGAGAAAGACAATGACAGAAAAATGTTGATTAGAATCAGAAAACCAGCAAGTGCTCAGTAAATAAACAGAAAAGTATCTGTGTTCAGGGCTAAAAGACACATTCCATTTTTTAAAAAAAATCTGTGATCAAAACATGAATGCTCATTTTACTCTTAAGTTATACATATATTTATATATACATAATTTATTTCTGTAAAACAAGTTTAATAACATGTATACTTCATGTATACAACAAAGAGACCCATGTAAAATTTCATTGATATGTTTTGTATCTGAGAGAAAAAGAAAGCAAGAAACAAATACAAGCTACATATCAAGATGAATTTGATGTTAAGGGGCCAATGTGAATGGGTCTTCTTTTCAAGAATCTGGATACGGCAGAGAAGGATGCTGAGGAGATGGCAAAGACAGCAAAATATCTTCAGAAATAGAAAATTCAAACTAGATAATGAAAAATTTACAGTTTTGACATTTTATGTCAAGGCTTTATCATTACTGTTTCAAAATCATTAAAGAATAAGTGGCCGGGTGCGGTGGCTCATGCCAACTTTGCAAGGCCAAGATGGGTGGATCACAAGGTCAGGAGTTCAAGACCAGCCTGAACAACATGGTGAAACTCCGTCTCTACTAAAAATACAAAAAATTAGCCAGGTGTGGTGGTGCATACCTGTAATCCCAGCTACTCAGAGGCTGAGGTCAGAGAATCGCTTGAACCCAGAGGGAGTGGAGGTTGCAGTGAGCAGAGAATGCACCATTGCACTCCACAGCCTGGATGACAGAGTCGAGACTCTGTCTCAAAAAAAAAAAAAAAAAAAGTAAGTGTAGTATTTTCGCATTCAAAAAAAATTTCAGATTGTTCTTTTCCATATAGCCACAATACAAATTTTCATCAACCTTGCCCCAGCAGCTCAGCTGATTCCCGCCCCATAGCTACGCATACCTATAATGTGTGTGTTGATTCTAAAAAATACATTCAAATGGTTGGTTTGGTGTGAAGTACGGACATGGAAGTAGTTTGTATCTGGGTTTAGTCAGGTAAAATTAGAAGTTAAATCAATTAATAAATTATTAAAATGTTCTACAATGAAGCCATACCCAGTTACGCCTCTTCTAATTCATGATTTTCTTCCTTGGCCCAGTCCCAATATACTCAGTATAGTAAGTAACTCAAGAATTTTCTTAATTCTTCATTTTCTTCTTCAGGCTTGAAAAAGAAAGTGTTTAAGAATTATTTTTTTGTAAAATCTAGAGACCTTCTATCTTAAAGTATTTATTTCTCATAGAGTTGATGAGTAATGTATTTAGGCAGGTGTATAAAGTACATTTGTAAACCTGATGCCAATAAGGACAATTCCAAAATAGCCACTTTTGTAAAACAGCTAAAAATGATTCATACTTTCATCATCTTTCCTGAAATTTAAACTGCTAAAAATGTTTGTTAAAATGAGGTGTTTACACATAAGATACTGAGATTAGTAAAAAAATTAAAATGATTATAATTTACATTTGAGAGTTTTAAGAGCCTTTAGAAACGGTATCATTAATGATTTAAGATATTCAAGTTTTGTTAAATTACATCTTACTAAGATGATTTTTAGAAAACTCTTATCTAGTTCCCATTACATTGTTGTTTTTTTTTTTTTGAGGCGGAGTCTGCGCTGTATCTTGAGCTAGAGTGCAGTGGCGGGATCTCAGCTCACTGCAAGCTCCGCCTCCCAGGTTCATGCCATTCTCCCGCCTCAGCTTCCCGAGTAGCTGGGACTACAGGCGCCCACCACCTCGCCCGGCTAGTTTTGTATTTTTAGTAGAGATGGGGTTTCACTGTATTGGCAGGATGGTCTCGATCTCCTGACCTCGTCGATCCACCCGTCTCGGAAGCCTCCCAAAGTGCTAGGATACAGGCTTCCATTACATTTTTTATCCTCGTCTGTCTTCAGGCTGATCTAAATATTCTCATTCTCTGTTAGTATTCACCCACAGGTTTCAGTTTTCCCTTTCCTTAATCATTTCTCTTTAAATAAAGTTTTCTTCTATAATAAAAACATAACTTTTTATCTACTTTGCAGATTTTCTATTATCTGTTCTCTCCTTCCATTGGACTCTGTGACACATGGTCTCATCCAGAGATCTATTTTTCATCATTTACTGTTTTTTATACCAAAATCTGATTTTTAAATAATTCCAATAAAAAGTCAAGGAGTCTGAAGGACTCTATCCTGCTTTACTCAGTAGCAACTGCGAAGTAGTGACCAAATGATCCCTCTATACTCTGACCCCACTTTATTTCTAACGCAGCAACCTCTGATGTTCAGTCCTATCCCTTTTCTATTCCTGTTTATTTGTTTGTTTTTTGAGACAGAGTCTGCCTGTCATCTAGACTGGAGTGCAGTGGTGTGATCTCCGCTCCTGCAACCTCTGCCTCCAGGGTTCAAGTGATTCTCCGGGTTCAAGTGATTCTCCTGCCTCAGCCTCCTAAGTAGCTGGGATTACAGGTGCCCGCCACAATACTTGGCTAACTTTTTGTATTTTTCGTAGAGACACGTATCACTATGTTGGCCAGGCTGGTCTTGAACTCCTGACCTCATGATCTGCCCAACTCGGCCTCCCAGAGTGCTGCAATTACAGGTGTGAGCAACCACACCCAGCTGCTATTCCTCTTTTAAATTCTCTTAGGACTCCTAGAATCTCAAAATTTTGACCCAGATTCCCTAATCTACATTTCCAGCTCTGAACTGCTTCTTGAGGCCTCTTCTTTCTAGTACACATATTATAGACAATATTCTCAACCACACACTCATACGTTGCTACTTGGTGCAGATTACCTTTGTAGTGAATCATGTCTATTTTATGTTGATTGTTATTGATGTTACTTTGCATATAGTATTATTTTCTAATCTCGAAGGGGGCTTGTCTTGCCCTTAGGATATTGACCAGTATATTTTGTCCTTTTTTTTTTTTATTATTTTATTTTTTTGAGATGGAGTCACACGCTGTTATCCAGGCTGGAGCACAGTGGCACCATCTTAGCTCATTGCAACTTCCACCTCCTGGGTTCAAGTAATTCTCCTGCCTCAGCTTCCCAAGTAGCTGGGACTACAGGTGCACACCACCATTCCTGGTTAATTTTTATATTTTTAGTAGAGACAAGGTTTCACCATATTGGCCAGGCTGTTCTTGAACTCCTGACCTCAGGTAATCAACCTACCTTGCCCTCCCAAAGTGCTGGGATTACAGGCATGAGCCACTGCACCTGGCCCTTTTTTTTCTTTTATAATGAAAACTTTCCCATGAGAATCAGATGATCAATTGTTTGCCTTTGTTTCCTTGTGAAGAATTTCCTTTCCATAGAGATATGGCATGATGCACATCTTGTTCTCAAGTTTCTTCCAGGGGACACTCAATGATATCATTGGGAAGGCTCCAGTCAAGTAGAGGTCTCCCTTCTTCCCAATCGAGATTCTTCATCTCAAAGTGATGCCCACCAAACGTCTTAATCCAGGTAGTCTCTTGCTTAGAAATTAATGAAATAAGAACTTTCTAGAGAAGTTAGAGGCTACTGATTGAGATGGTTTAAAGCTGTCCCTTATTAAATGTTTTACTCCAAGGCAGACATCAAAATGGCTAATAATTCCATGCCTGATGTCTGACTCACTTCTATGGGAATCTATACAAAACGTTTTATTTATGAGACAGAGTCTCACTCTGTTACCCAGGCTGGAGTGCAGTGGCTTGACCACTGCTCACTGCAGCCTTGATATCCCGAGCTCAAGCGACTCTCCTACCACAGCTTCCCAATGTAGCTAGGACTATAGGCATGCACCCTCAGATAACTGTTAATTTTTGTTTTGTTTTGTTTTGTTTTGTTTGGTAGAAGCAGTGTCTCACTTATATTGTGCTGGCTGGTCTCAAATTCCTGGGCTCAAGCACTGTTCCCGCCTCAGCTTCCCAAAGTGCTAGAATTACTGGCATGAGCCATCTCACCCAACCATGGAATGGTTTGAGAGGCA